GGGTTAGCGACCGTATCCCATAGAAAACTAACTCGCTAAAAAACGCTAACTAGAAAAAAATACTTCTAACCATTTAAACTCTGTCTTGGGAAATAGAAGGCCTTCATTTACAAGAACTATGACGCCTCATGATGAAAGCCAAATTCCTTCGGAAGTCACGAGGCCGATGCCACTTTTAACAACCACAGCAACAATTTTTATAGGTACATGGAACGTCCAGACAATGTGGGAGACCGGGAACACCAGTCAAATAGCGATGGAAATGAGGAGATACAATTTGGCAGTACTCTGAATAAGCGAAACCCGTTGGATCCAAGCTGGACAACAAAGGCTAAATACGGGAGAGATACTGCTATACTCCGGTCACGAAGAGGAAAATGATCCACACACTCCGTGAGTTGGTCTAATGCTGTCCAAGGTAGCACGAAATGCACTTGTAGGACGGAAGCCTCACGGATCCAGAATCACCAAAGCATCATTCAAAACAAGGGAGGTAATTACAGTGAATGTTATCCACCCACCAATAATAGCAATGACGACATTAAAGATCGATTCTAAGAGCGGCTACAATCAATCATAAAGGAGTGCTCAAGAAAAGACCTCACCATTCTGATGGGAGATCTAAATGACAAAGTTGGAATAGACAACACCGAATATTAAGATATCATGGAACGACACGGACTGGGAGAGAGAAACGAAAATGGAGAAAGATTTGCAAATCTATGTGCATTCAACAAATTGGTCATAGGAGGCACAATATTTCCACACAGACGTATGCACAGAGCTACATGGATCTCACTGGACCACACCACAGAGAACCAGATAGATCATATTTGCATCAACAAAAAATTCCGAAGGACAATGGAAGATGTGAGAACCAGCAGAGGAAGTGAAATAGCTTCAGATCACCACCTAGTTGTGGCCAATTTAAAACTGAAGCTCAAGAAAACTGGACAACTGGAAAAACAGCATTAACAAGGATCAATACAGCCTTCCTTCGACATACTAACAAACTCAATGAATTCAAGACAGCTCTCAACAAGAGGTTCCAAGCCTTACAGAATCTACTGAAGGGAGAAGAAACTACTATAGAGGACAACTGGAAAGGTATCAAAGAAGCATTAACTTCAACGTGTCAAGAGGTTCTGGGCCTAAAGAAGCACCACCATAAGGAACGGATCTCTATAGAAACACTGGACAGGATCAAAGAAAAGAAGAACAAGAAGACAGCAATTAACAATAGCCGAACATGAACAGAGAAAGTCCAAGCACAAGCTGAGTACATAGAAGCAAACAAGCAAGTGAAGAAGAGCATTAAAGCAGACAAGCAGAAATACGTGGAACTAGCAACGAAGGCGGAAAAAACTGCAAGAGAAGGAACTATGAAACAGCTTTATGATACAACGAATAAACTAGCAGAGAGATACAGTAAACCAGAGAGATCGGTTAAGGACAAAGAAGGAAGACCAATCACTGAAATTCAAGAACAGCGGGACAGATGGGTATGATACTTCGAGGAACTCCTAAATGGACCGGCTCCAATGAATCCACCGAACACCGAAGCAGCACACATAGATCTTCCTATAGATGTCAGTCCACCAACGACGGAAGAAATCAGAATGGCCACCAGACAAATCAAGAGCGGGAAAGCAGCAGGACCCGACAACATACCAGCTAAAGCCAGACATAGAAGCAACAACAAACATGCTTCACCTTCTATTCAAAAAGATTTAGAAGGAGGAACAAGTGCCGACGGACTGGAAAGAAGGACACCTCATCAAGATTCCAAAAAAGGAGATCTGAGCAAATGTGAAAACTACAGAGGCATTACCCTACTGTCAGTACCAGGGAAAGTCTTTAACAGAGTGTTTCTGAACCGGATGAAAGACGCCCAACTTCGAGATCAACAAGCTGGATTCCGTAAGGATCGGTTGTGCACAGACCGAATTGCGACACTACGGATCATCTTCGAACAACCAGTTGAGTGAAACTCGTCACTGTACATCAACTTCATTGATTATGAAAAGGCATTTGACAGTGTAGATAGGAGCACATTATGGAAATTTCTTCGACACTATGGAGTTTCTGAAAGGACTGTCAACATTACCCGGAACTCATACGACGGACTACAGTGCAAAGTAGTGCATGGAGGACAGCTGACAGATGCATTCCAAGTAAGAACCGGAGTCAGACAAGGCTGTCTACTCTCTCCCTTCCTCTTTCTTCCGGTGGTCGACTGCATTATGAAGACCTCGACATCCGAGGGAAAACACGGAATACAATGGACAGCTCAGAACAAATTAAACGATTTGGACTTCGCACATGACCTAGCCCTCCTATCCCATACACATGAACAAATGCAGATAAAGACAGCCAGTGTAACAGCAGTCTATGCATCAGTAGTCCTCAGAATACACAAGGGGAAAATCAAGATTTTCAAATACAACACGGAGAACAGCAATCCAGTCACATTTGATGGCGAAACTCTGGAAGATGTAGAATCCTCCACATACCTGGGAAGCATCATCGATGAACAAGGAGGTCCAGATACAGACGTAAAGGCGAGGATTGGCAAAGCAAGGGTCGCATTCCAACAATTGAAGAACATATGGAACTCAAAACAATTGTCAACCAATATCAAAGTCAGAATCTTCAATACGAACGTCAAGGCAGTTCTAGTGTACGAAGCTGAAACTTGGAGAACTACAACAACCACCATCAAGAAGGTACAAGTATTTATAAATAGCTGTCTTCGCAAGATACTCAACATCCATTGGCCGGATACCATCAGCAACAGCTTTTTGTGGGAGAGAACAAACCAGCTTTCAGCTGAAGAAGAAATTAGGAAAAAACGATGGAAATGGATAGGACATACATTACGCAAATCGTCAAACTGCATCACAAGACAAGCCCTAACTTGGAATCCTGAAGGGAAGCGGAAAAGAGGAATGCCAAAGAACACATTACGTCGGGAAATAGAAGCAGATATGAAAAGCATCAATAGGAACTGGAAAGGATTGCCCAGGACAGGGTTGGATGGAGAATGCTGGTGAGTGGCCTATGCTCCTTCATGAGGAGTAACAGGCGTAAGTAATATTCGTTTCAACCTCACTAAGAGTTAGAGGACTGACATCAATTTTTCACTCAAGTTATTTAGAAGTGGGTGCGGTCGAAGGCTAGTTGGGCTGTTCTCTAAAGCGTTATGCCCATCGGTCCAACCTCCTGGATTAAGAGTGAATAATGTTCTACTGTTACCTATCGACGCTGTCTTTCATACCTCTTTTGCTTTCGTTGCCCACCACTTCCCATGAATATTGTGTATCCTTTTTATCAGCCGGCGTTAAAGCTGGCTCTGCCCATCACTGTGTTTGGAGGCAGATGGGGTGAGTTAATAAGTATATATCAGAAGAGGCCGCTAAAGTTCACTGGTTTTTCTTAATCTTTTAGTTAAGGTGCTTCCATAGTTGTTTGGATATCATATCAAGCTACCTCGGGTTGGACATTACTTTCAAGGTTGACCAACTCCACTAGTTGTTCCTGGCATATATTCTTGACCTTTACCTTATTGAGTCGAACTCAAAGGTTTCTTATTGATATATTTCTGATCCATCCAGCCTGTATAATACATGTGATAATTATCGGGATATTAGTGCTACATAGTGTGTTAGAAATATGAAAAGGGAAAAAGCAAGATCCCAAAATATGACACATACAGTACCAACCAAATCACAATACATGAAGAAGCCCTGGATCAGGTGGAAACTTTTAGGTACCTAGGCAGCATGATTGATAAACAAAGGGGATCTGATGCAGATATGAAGGCACATATTGGCATAGCAAGGGAAATATTTCCAGTTTTAGACCATCTTAAACTCAAAGCAACTGTCAGCCAACACCAAAGTCAGATTTTTTAATACAAACGTCAAGACAGTCCTCATATACGGAGCTGAAACAAATACCGACGTGTCGTGACTTTAACACTATCAAAAGCACTGAAGACTAATCATCGTCATTTCCAGACAATAGAGCTGCTTTTGATATGACTGTTTAAAAACCGATTGTTGCAGAATGTATCTGAGATGCAACCTTAGTATTCAAGCCCGTTTGGAAATCACTTCAGACAGAGTGAAGGCACAGAATCATCTTGCTTCGATGTTTCTATCCGACAGTAGGATTGGATAGGATCATCTCATCTCAGTATTTCTCTTTGACTTCAGGTGATAATACACTTTGAGTGCAATGCGATAATGTAGTGCAGATCTTATACCTGGACAAAGACATCTTGACAATCAGTATGCGGATGACGCCGTTTTACTTTGCGATGTAATACAGGCTAACCAAGCAGCATCAGTTGTTAATCAATGTTTGTCAGTATGGTATTTACCTTAAACAACCGAAATGCACAGTACTCCCAAAAGAATAATGGTATTCTTAGCTCTCATGCACCGTTGAAAACGGTCTAGAATTCCGTGTGACACAACTGCTTTACATATGTCACCTCAAACGTTAGAGGGGGGTTGAAATAAAGAGACTACCAGCTAATGGAGACGTAGATAAATGAAGACTATTCGCTGTATGTTAGCATTTTTCGGGTCATTAGGGTTTTGTAGGTGAGATCCAAAGATAGTAAATAACAGCGACTACATATATTATCACAAGGTTTAGAAAAGCCCGTGGTATTCCTACCGTAGGTCTCTTTTGTGTTTTTAATAACATCTGCTTTTAAGCAAAAATATCGTATTTTGGTTGTTCCTACTGAGGTTGTACACTAATATCTCTCATAATTGTATTAGACAAATTTTTATGTATTTGTTAACTCATCTAAATTATTGCCAAAGTGTGTAGTACATTTCTTGGTACTTTTCTGCACCAAGCACGTGTTACGATCGAATAATGTGAACAATAATCAAATGTATCTGATAATTTACTCATACTAATAATAAACGTTCCAAAATAAACAGTCAAAGTTATAACACAAATTACTATCAATTTTTTCTTACCTGTAATGACCTCATCAGAATACATTCACCGTGTCTACAAAACTGTTTGGGCTCAGAAGAGTCGCCACTACCCTGCTGATTGGGTGAAAGATCACTCTTCGAATCTGTTTGTTCTTGATATGAACACGGAGTGACTGAAGCCAAAAACGGAGAAAAGTTATTTGTCAGTGTCAATTTGGACTCCAGCTCTATGATATTTTTTATACAAGGAACCAACTTTGGAAACCAAAAGTTTGGCGAATTCTCACTAGCTGTATTGAATAAAGCAGGCATTGAAGAGAAAAAGTCAGGTTGACCAATCGGTTGATTTGACTGTTCATTCAAAACGTACCCCGACAGCTGACCTGATACAGATGGCTTATATTTTTTACACTGCTTCTTATGTTTTTTACCTAAGAAATGAGAATCCAATTGCTCTTTGGAAGAGCAACTAAGACCACAAGGTATGCAGAAGTAAGGAACATTATTGCTTTTATTGAATTGTTGCTCAACTCCAAACTGTTCAGACATAGAATTGTCAGAAGAAGAAATTATATTTCGCATATGCTTTGATCCACTGCAATGTAGGGTATATTGTTCAGAAGAATTAAGGTTTGTATTGCACTCGTTACAGAAATAGGTATCTACAGCAACAATAGTTATTATTAATGTGAAGTGAGGAGCTTACTGGCATTGCAGTTTTTTCTATGATGTGATCCAGATATATGCTGGGAAAATGGCGCCTTACCGGTGCATTTCACATTACACACTCTACAAATATAAACTTCACCGAACTGAGTGTGCTCTATTCTGCATACATCGCCAGTTTTGTTGGAAAGCGTATCAGCAAACGGTGAGATTCGTAGTGCGTCCATGGAAGAAGTGCATAAACGTTCAGGTACTTCGGAAACAGAACATGAAGTAATCCTTTGGGTCATATTGAATCCTAGAGATAAAAGAAATTGGTCTGAAGTGTCATATCTACCAACAACAGAAACTTTATATGTATATATGCGACTCTCGATAAGTGGTACTAAATCGTAAAGTGATCTTACATATTTATATATAAACATATATTACCTTACTCGCTAATGTTGTAGACTTAGTTGTCATTAATTATTCATTTCATTCAAAGACGAGTAATAAGTTTGCTTACTCAGTCGAGGAAACGTCAATAAAGTGACTGTCACGAGACGAGTACGAGGACTGACACAGACCATCAAGCCTCCTGTCCTTTCAAAAATGAAGCTGAAACAACAATGAAAACAGCCAATGTACCCCAGTTAGTTTTTCTGTGAACATATAATGGGACTATGAATATTATCGCGCATTTTGATAGTTGCAGAGCAACCCCTGATTGTTTTTGAAACTGACGGCTTCAGACAGCATACCTAGCCAGTATCAGGTTAACTCAAAAATTTGCTTGTCAGCAATAATTAGCACCATCGAATGGCCTGTATGAAAAAAACACTCAAGAGCCCAACATTCATATCAAAATATCGGGATATATCGACATGTACACAGAAATAGGGACTATAACACCAGGAGTAGGTATGTGTAGAAATTTATGTCAGAATACTTACGTACCAGTTGGGAAATGCGATGCACATGGAGATCCTAGAAATCCGAAAATACTTAAGTCGCTTTGAAAATGTTTCTACAATCTACTTACTCAATGTGCGACCAAATCTATCACAACATCAAAGAGTATACTTCCCATAAAACTAATTTACGCACACAAATTGAGTTGCTTTCATGAGAATATACACTATATTATTATGCTAAAACTAAGCGACGCAAAAACTATAAGTGACAAACCGAGAGGAAGACATACTTAGCATCCCAGAGAGTCGGAGAAAAATCGAAAGAAATTGCGAAGATATTTTGAGGTTTATGAGGTATAGTAGGTTTAGTTACATGGTATTATGAAGTGAAAGTGATCTGAGTGAGCCAAGACTACAACGACGCAAAAACGAGTTCACAGTATGAGAAAAACGAAATTGCGCGATATACACGAAGTACGAAATTGGAGCGATCATAGATTAACCATCGGTTGTGAAGCTAAGGCTCAACTACAATGGTGAGCTTTATTTCACATTATATCCTACATATATCCCACATGGGATTTGAGAGTGGACTTCCAACATGACGAACTTGTGTTAATGGATTGGTATTCAGGAACGCTTCTTTGTGTTAAGATACCGTTTAAGGATTCAGTATGGTACAATGTGGGTAGTCTAGCAGGTAAACAGTACTAACCCTAACGAATTCGAGAGCTGATTAAGTTCCAGTTTCAGTTTGGAAAGGATAGGAGGCTTGATGGCTTGTATTAGTCCTGGCAATGGTGGTCTCTCAGTTGATTCAACTTTCTTTTGAAAGAGTCGACGGATGGAGCCTCAACCACGTGCTGAGGTAATGAATTCCACTCGTTGATGATTCGGTGGGAAAGTCGGTAGTCAGCTGACAAGTAATTTGTTCTGGGCTTGTGAACTTTTTTGGAGTGTCCTCGTAAATTCTCTGTTTTGGAAGACAAGAAAAATGAGGGCATATCAGGTGCAAATTTATCACTAAGCAATTTGAAGACTGTAATCAAGTCGCCTCTAGTTCTGCGATATGACAACGGGAAAAGGTTCAGCTTGGCCAGTCGAGCCTCACACGGAAGCTTCGCTATTACGGGAATCAGTTTAGTCGCCGTTCTCTGAACCTTTTCCAAAAGCTCACTTTCTTTTTTTTAAGCAGAGGCTGGCCGCTTGCATGCAGTACTCAAGTTTAGGACGTACGAACACTGTGTACAGAGTTAAAAACGTCTTGGCGTCGACATGACTTAAAGCCCTACACATTGACCATAAGGTTCTAAGACCTTTGGTGGCTATTGCACGGCAGTGTGCAATAGTCTTTAGGTCTTGACTAAGGATAACTCCTAAGTCATTATATGTCTGGACGACAGGTAGCTCAGTGTTATTCATCATGTATGTATCTGTACCTTGATGACCAATATGTGTCACAACACACTTGGAAGTATTTATCGGCAACTGCCAGGTTTGAAACTATTCAGATAACTTCTTCAGGTCATTTTGAAGTTCTAAGCTATCACTCTTACATCGTATCGTTCTCCATATCTTGACATCGTCAGCATGTAGCAAGCCCGATGATGATAGGAGACGAGAAAGGTCATTTACATACAAGAGGAATAGCACTTGAATATAAATTAGAGTTTGTTCTGTAGCATTCAGGTTGCTAAGAGCATGGAACACCATGTCGACGTACAGGAGATTGAGTTGTAAAATGAGAGATTATAAAACTGAATATAGAGGAGAGAAGAGAATATAACGGTCAGAATGGTACATGAAAAAGATGTGAACAGATGTCCAAGAATGACAGAGGGGGGTGAATGGAGATGAGCCTATTATATTAATACAAACAACAATGACAGTGGTGATGGTGGTAGTACTGGCAAGGTAAGAGACGTCAAATACAGATGTTCCAGGCGGACAGCAAGGCATGGGTGTGTATATGATCATCGAACCTAAAATTCTCGGTCAACAAACCCGAACGCTTCAAAATCAACTGTTTTGTATGAAATATGTGTAATTTGCAACATATTTAAACCTTAAATGAGAATTCGAAATCGCAAAACCATCTGCAACACCGCACCAAGTCAAGCAAGCGCCAAAAACTCAGTGGACAATGTCTATGAGCAAAAATATAAGGTTGAGTAACCTATGTTACTGCTCACAGATGACATAACTATAAATATTAAACCTTTGTTCGAATTTATTAACAAAACTTGTGAGTAGAACCTATTCTATCTAAGAACTAGAGTAATTCATGTATAAATAAGAAAACCAATCTCCAGACATTAACTTCATTTTGATTTTCGAACTTTCTAAGAATATGTTCTTAGATTACTGTTCATAAATGGGGGGAAATAGAACTATTGGTGTAACCAAAGGTTATCAATTCGTCGAAGTAAACTATCATTGCACTAGAACTTAACCTACTGTCAAGTATTGGAATTAGGTTAGGACGTCTCGACCTGCATGTCAGATACAGTCTTACATACACATTGCACAATATTCTGGACACGTTTTCATCCAGGTTACGAAACGCTCCACGGAGTATTTACAATATCTAGGACTCATTGGCATCAAATGAACTACATGGTTCTTATGTCGTTCTGCAATTCCACCTGGAGCCTGTATACAGTTACTGCCAGTCCCACACCAGAGTAAAATAGGTGTGTTGAGAATTGTGTCACATTGACCCTTCTTAAAAATCGAAGAGGCTTTGTGCCGCTAGTAAGGCAGTACTGTAGAATCACATTCATACACTCTTCAAGATATTAACATGGATGGATCGCAGGAAAATCTTCCAACTCACAGAATCGACTTAAAGAAGAGTGAAAACGCAGGTAAAAGAGACAATAAATACAACAAAAAGGTTAGACTGTGCCCAAAAGCACCTAAAAGGCTCTTTCATGTATGTGGTCACAAAGCATCATAATAATTCTAGATGATATTCGTCTTTGAAACTGGATATGTCTGTACCACTACCCCCAATTTTAATTAATGCTGGCCTTCAGTTTTTAAATGTACCACATACCGTACCCACTTTTATTATGTGATACTATTTACTTCATTACATAAGATTATCTTTCCGCGTAATATACATGTTAAAACTGACCCAATCTGCACGTTCATTTCCTATTTAGCCTCCACAGATGTACTGACACACATTCGACATCTCTAATAAAGTCTTCCTGCCATTATCCCCTCTTGTTATTGACACCTTTACTAATACTCACAATACATTCACTCTTGTTTCAAACAGAGGTCTTGATTTCTGAGCTATCTTCAGCCCTCGGCCTTGATTTTTTCACCCATTTCTATTTCTGACATTTTGCTCAGTCCATCTGTTACTTATAACTTTCTTATCATGTCACAAAAGAAAAGGAAGGCCTCTGTTTATAGGCGTCCAGCCAAATGTGGGAAAAAGACACTTTATAATACGACTGCTGACACGATTTCTGGCAGTTTCAACGAGACGAGCTACCCTGTTCATCCAGAAGCAGATGCGTTTATGCCAGCTCTCTCCATTCCATACATCTTGAAGATTCTATTGGTAAATAATGATGATAATCACTACTGTAACCCTATGGATGATATAAGAAATTTGCGAGTCGGCATAAACATTTTCAATCCGCTTAAGTACCCCGTCAACCCCAACCTCACATAGATTCCAGATCAAATGAATGACATAAATAGTTTCCCATATCGTGTTGCTTCAGAGGTGTTCTAAAGAATATGATGATCGGCGAGATTATAATTTATGGACGAACCAATCAGATCTAGGGTAAAAGGTCTGGGACTTTGGCGCGAAGCTCACTCATCTATATGTTTAAATAGCTTCTTGGCATTTTAGCTAATATCAGTTCGTGATGAACAACCACAAATCTAATTACTAACCCTAATAATCCTTATTCTTCAATTGCTTCATAACACTCATTTTGCCCTAGTAGTTAGGTAGACACTCTCAAGGTCACTCCGACGTCGCGCAGTCGTCGTCCATAAATTATACTCCACCTAGACAACCTAGCAATGCAATTATATTTAATATGCCGGAAACATATGCCCTTAAAAATGCCAAGTTTAATCTGCTTAGAGCCAGCGAGATGACACAAGTACAATGTGTGTGCACAGGATCAAAAAGAAGTCACCCTGGTGTGTGCTCATCGATCCTGATCAAATTCAACTCGTCTGCTGACGCCAGTGAGTCTCTGACTTTCTCTAATTCAATGAGACAAAACAGATTTTCAAGAATTATAAGATTCCTCCTGACAGAACACCATGTCAACAAAAAGCAGGAAAAGCTAATCACAGACAACTAGCATCAAACTCCCAAACGCATCATAGTCACAAAGGTCATAAAATTGAGACCGATTCCAAGAAGACCTTTGGCTTTACAAATGTACCACCACCGATAAACTATCCTGACTCGTGATCTTAACCACTGAAATTACTATAATATCCACAAAATCCATCTGATATTAATCAACTTACACTCACTAGTGACCGGCTTCAAGAGGTATATCCTGGAGTTCTAGTGAGACGTAGTGACTTGTGGAGCTCAGCCAGATCTGTTGTGAGATAGCAACTCACTGAAGACAACGGTGGATGTGTCGCTCAATTTCGTGGATTAGTTGAAGTTAGACATTGACACTGTTGGATGCCGGCTCAGTAGTCTAGTGGTTGAGTACTCTGGCGCGCGAAACCAGTAGGTCCTGGATTCGAACCTCGTAGGGGGCGAGGTCGTGGATGCGCACTGCTGAGGACGACATAGACTGACTATGAGATAGGAACGAAAATGGTGGGAGGTTCAAAAACCTATGTGCCTCCAACACACTGGTCATAGGTAGCACCATATTCCCACATAAATGCATCAACAAATCCACATAGATTTCACCGGATCACATTACTCAGAACCAAATCTGCATCAATAAAAAGTTTAGAAGGACTATGAAGGACGTGAAAACCAAGAGAGAAGCTGATATAGCACCAGTTCATCACTTGTTGATTGCCAAGATGAAACTGGACAGCGGGGTGGACAACATCACGAAAGTATAATACGGCTTTTCTTTGGGGTACTGACAGATTGAACGAATTCATGGCAGCCCTCAGCAATACGTTACAGGCCTGTCACGATGTACCCAATAAAGAGGGAACTATTGTGGAGAGCAATTGGAAGGGGAACAAAGAGGCAATCACTTCAACATGTCATGAGGTTCTGGGCCACAAGGAGCACCACCATAAGGAATGGATCACTGTTGATGCACTGAATATGATTCAAGAAGGAGGACCAAAAAGACACCGATCAGTATCAGCCAAACAAGAGCAGAGGAAACCAAGGCACAAGCTGAATACACAGAAGTAAACAAACAGGCGAAGAGGAGCATCAGAACCGACAAAAGTAAATACGTGGAGGATCTAGCAGTGATGGCAGAAAGGTTGCAAGTGAAGGAAACATGAGACAATTGTGTAACACAACAGAGCAGCTCTCTGGAAATTATCATGAACCAGAACTAATAGTGAAAAGCAAGGAAGATAAAGTAATCATGAACCTTAAAGAACAGCGAAAAGGGTAAGTAGAGCACTTTAAAGAACTCTTGAATTGACCAGCACCACCGAACCCACCTAACATCGAAGCAGCACTGACAGACCTCCCAACTACTGTTGGCCCATCAACAGTTGAAGAGATCACAATGGCTATCAGACAAATCAAGAGCGATAAATCTGCACAAACAGACAACATTCCAGTAGAGGCACTGGGAGCAAACGTAGCCGTAACTGCGAAGAAACTCGACATTCTCTTCAGCAAGATTTGGGATGAGAACAAGTACCAACAGACTGGTAACAGGGACTCTTGATCAAGAAACAAAAGAAAGACGATCTCAGAAAGTGTGATAACTACGGATACATCACTCTCCTCTCAATATCAGGAAAAGTCTTCATCACAGTGTTGTTGAACAGAATGAAGGATTCCGTAGACGATCAACTTTGAGACCAGAAAACTGAATTCCGTGGGAATCGATCGTGTTTCAACCAAATCGCAACATTACGGATCATTGTGGAACAGTCAATTGAATGGAATTCACCACTCTACATCAACTTCATTGACTACGAGGAAGCATTCGATGGCGTGGACGGGACAGCACTATGGAGGCTTCCTTGACACTGCGTCGTGCCTGAGAAAATAATTAACATCTTACGAAATTCTTATGATGGATTAAACCACAAAATAGTTGCACGGAGTACACACGTGACGGAGAAGCTTTGGAAGATGTAAAAACCTTCACATATCTGGGCAGAATCATTGATAAACACAGTGAACCTGATGCAGATGTGAAAGCACAAATCGGTAAAGCAAGAACAGCATACCTACAACTGAAGAACAACTGGAACTCAAAACGATTGTTAACCAAAACCAAAGTCAGAATTGTCAATACAAATGTCAAGACAATTCTACCGTATGGGGCGGAAGCCTGGAGAACTACGGGAGCCATCACTGTAGTAAACTACTCAGCTGGGTTGATATTTTATAAGATATAAATTTAAATAATTTTAGTCAGTATCACTGTCGCGTCGCGACGTGCAACCGATGGTAGAACAATCAAGAAACATAGTTATCCTTGCTTCGCACCAACCGCAAACGTTTAAAATCACCTCCGACGATTTTAATCTTCCGAACATTACATGGGGTTCGACTTCCGTACCAGGTCGATATAACAAGCTAGTTGAAACACTAGAAATTTGTGGATTGGTTCAGCAGGTTCAAAAAACCGACTATTGGGAATGATGTACTTGATTTATTGCTTACAATCAACATAGACTCTATCTCAGTGCATACCAGTCATGAGTTTTTATGAGTGATCATAGAGTCGTATTGAGTACTATTAATTCTTTAAACACTATACAATTGAACTCTAAAGCGTCATTGATGTAACAGAGCAGACAGTTCGATCAATAAACCTGGAAGCGCACTAAAACTCTCGTTCGATACTCATCATGGAAATCTTATTTCACCACAAATAATATTGACACTGCGCTTTCCGACTTATATCACAACTTGAAATATTCCCTTGACTGCACGGCTCCAACAATTGGCCATGTGGCTTATA